TGGCATGCATCACTGAACTAATAAGGACATCCAAAAAGGAAGTCGTTCGTGGGTCTGAGTTACAATCAAATCTGAAAGATATGGATTCCTGCACTAAGAATTTATTAGGTAACTAATATTCCCTCCATCTATTAAGTTGATATTAGAAGCACATCCATTAGAGTAAAGAAAAATAGTGTATACTTGTGTAACATGTATCTGTTCATAACTCACTATCTTAATTTTCAGGGTTATTGAATTCAATTCTGGATATGAGCAAGATTGGAGCTCGGAAAATGCAATTGGAGGAGGAAGAATTCAATGTGGCAGAGATGCTAGAACGAGGAGCTGATTCTTTCCATCTTGTGGGCATGAAGAAGGGTGTGGATGGGGTATTAGACCCTTATGACCGATCCATCCTTAAATTTTCACATGTGTGAGGTGACAGAGCGAAGTTGGAACTAATCCTGTGCAATTTACTAAGCAATGCAGTGAAATTTACTTCTGAGGGGCAAGTATCGCTGCGAGCTTGGGTCCAGAAACCTAGCCTGCAAAGTGCAATTCTTGCTTCCAATCAGAGTGGCTTCAACAAAAGCTTGTTCAGGTTCTTTTCCAAGAAGGAAACCTGTGATGACATAAAGGCCATTGACGCGGTCAGATGTAATCCAAACTCCATGGAATTTGTTTTCGAGGTGGAAGATACAGGGAAAGGAATTCCAAATGAGAAGCAAGTGTCTTTCTTTGAAAGCTTTGTTCAGGTTAAAGATACAGCAACTAGAAGGTAAGGAGAAGGAACAGCCCTGGGGAATGATCAAGAAGAAACGGCTCTCAGCGGAACAGGATTGGGACCACTAATTGTTCAGTCCCTGGTAAGTTGCAAACTGTTATTAGATGAAGATACAACCTGTTTCACATCACTTGCTCATACTACTATAGTCCACGTTTTTTCCTTTTTCTAGCATTATTAGGTACGTTTGATGGGTGGAGAAATAGGAATTGTTGATAAAGAGATTGGTGAAAAGGGGGATGTGTTTCAGGTTCAATGTCTTCCTTGAAACCGCCACTGTTGGAAATATTAAAGGGGAAAATGAGCCTGGAGAGAATCTTACAGTTACCAATGGTGCTCAACATTCAGGGCTAACAATCCAGATCCCGAATCCCAGTTTGAACAACCGAACTCCTAGTCCCAGGCTGGGCATTCTCAGCTCAAGTCCCAAGCTTGAAGGATCTCAAGTTGTTCTCTTGATTCAGAACAATGGGCGCAGAGGAACTTTTCAGAAATACAGGGAGAGTCTGGGGATAAATGTGTCGGTTGTAGAAAGATGGGAGCAGCTTTTCTCTGTGCTCGAGAAAATCAAATCTAAACGGAAGTATTCCACCAGCAATTCTATAGGGAAATTGGGTTTGTGTTCAAGAAGCGACAATGCAAATTGTAAGGACTTGCCTCTGAGCACCACGGATGGAACAGAGCAGAAACATCAATCGTGCAGAAAGAAAGCTTCAACGGGGTTCATACTCCTGGTGATTGATGCTGGTGCAGGACCATTTGATAGAAACTCCATGAGATTATGTCTGAATTCTGAGAAGACCTTCAGAATACTTGTGAGGCAGTTTGGTTGGACAACTCAACTTCCCAGACAATCAATTCTAAAGAGGAAATATCCGAGACGGAAGATGATTTACGGGTGAAATCTTTGCATGGAAGCCGATTGTATAAAGTTATTAACCCCCTACCTGAATTCGGCGGTAATGTGAAGAGAAAAAACACATTTCAAGCTGAAAAGGTTTCTCAAGATTGTAGCTCATTATCTGCAAGGCCTTTCCATGTCAAGCCAAAGTTGGAAAATCCCTAGTTCCATGAGCATCCACTCTGACAAGGGGAGATACAGGAAGATGGTAATCCTACAGCTGGAAGCGGATGATTGAGAACATCTCCACCCCATGATCAATACCAACCCAGGCAGACTGAAATGCAAGAAATTCATGTTGATTCAAGTAAGAAGAAACTATGGAGTGGGAAGAGAATCTTGGTGGCTGAGGATGTCCTAATATTGGGCAAGGTCACAATGAAGAAACTTGAGCAGGATAGTGCTATAGTTGAGGTATGCAAAAATGGGGAGGAAGCTCTAAACCTTGTTCGGAACGATTTGAGAGATCAAAGAGAAAAGGGAGCGTCTTATGTTCTTCCCTATGACTATATATTAATGGACTGTGAGGTAAATAACCTATGATTTCCATCTCTATCAGATACTTTTTCAAGAACAAAGTGGTTAACAGAGTTTGAATTGATTATGTACTTGAATGTTGTGCAGATGCCAGTGATGGACGGACTTGACGCAACAAGACGTAAAGGGAAGAGGAGAAGGTCTACGGGGTACACCTTCCAATTTTCGCACTAACCAGTAATACAGTGGGGGAGGAAACAAACAGGGCAATTAGAGCCGGAATGGATTTTTGTCTCCAGGGAAAACCGCTGGAAGACAAAGCCCCTAATAGAAGCCATCACAAAAACCCATGAGTAAACATTGTTTAAGCATATTTCCTACCGTATATACTGGTTAAACCATGTACGATGCATAAATTGAACATGAACACACTTGGTTTAGATGCCAAAATTTTAGAAGAATAGAGAAATTACAACTATATACTAAGACTTATGTGATTGAGAAAAATCAAAAGTTCATGATAACCGACCAACACGCAAGAAAAATTTATTAAGGCATATAAACATTTTCAAGTGCAGAACTTGTGAGTTGAAAATTAATATGAAATTTGAAACAAAAAAACAATGTTATCGCTGCTTTTAAAAATAATATTTTAAGATTTTTAAAAAAAATTTATTAAAATTACATAATTATACAATAGTTTTTTCTTAATATTTTAGACATTCAACTAACAAACACTTTTCCTTTAAATTAATCAGACAATATAATATAAATGTTTAAGATGAATCTAAGAATCGTGTTTGGTAATTAATGAAAAGAAAACAAACCAGACAAAATTGGGCATTAGTGCCTTAACTAAATGGGCACAAGAAAATGGGGGGAAAAAGAAAGAAACAAAATTGATTGTTGAAGACTCTAAGAGAAATGAATGCCATGCTTGTTGAACAAAGAGAGTAGGTATAGAAACTCCTGCTGTGAAAGCTTGGATGCCCTCTTTTCTTGAAAATCTCCCTCTTTCAACACACTAGCAATCTTCTCTTTGAACCCAGATACATCTCCTTCTGCTTCGTCGTCCTCCACATCCATTTCATCATCTGTTCCATCATCCAAGTCCATACCCTGATCTCCTAGTTTTGCGATATCAATCATTTCATCACCGCCTACCAAGGTTTCATCGTTTGAAGTCTGCAGTGCTTGCAGGGTCTTGTAGTTCTTCTCAAGAGTGGAGACAACATTTTTCTGCCTGAAAATCGAACCAAGTGTTTTGTTCTTTCGAATGAAACAGATCCTTATAAACCCATCCCACTCCTTACCATTCACTTGTGGACGTGGTTTCCGTGGCTCTATCCGAACCACAGAGGAATCAACCTTAGGTGGAGGCCGGAAATTGTTTTTACCAACTTTGAGGAGATGAAAAACCCGAGCATACAGTTGGGTATTAACAGAAAGACGACAGTATAGATTATCACCAGGCTGAGCCACCAGTCTCATAGCAAATTCCCTCTGGAACATTATAACAGCACACCTGAAGGCAGGTTGATGAAACAGTAACTTGAATGTAAGGGGAGAAGATATTTGATAAGGAATATTTGCCACACAGATATCAAAATAGGGAAGATCTGTCTTCAGCACATCCCCTTGAATAACCTAAAAACCAATGGACGTTTCAAACATATAATCAGTCCTAACTCAACACCACAAGGACATAAATCAATACCAGTTATAAACAATGAACATCTATAGCGCAGAGACGTGAACTGAAGCAAAAAATCAAGCCTTTTACTTCACCCCATCAGATACTTCATTTAAAGTTTAGATTTTTACAAGCAAAATCAACAACAACGCACGATAAAGAAGCTTAGTTTTGAGAAAAATCAAAGATTATTTTGGTATCATAAAGAAATCAAGCAGTCACGAAACTATAATAGCAAAAGATTGCCGCATCAATTCAGAATTCGAGAACAAATGAATGAGGGAAATGATTCCAAATATATCACTCCTAACAATCCAAAAGAAACAGAAAGATATCAGATTGTAGGTACCTTCAAGCGGTTAGAAAAGGGGGTGCCCTGAAATCGGCGCTGCAACTCGAGGACCATGCGAGGATCGAGCTCGACGGCGATGACCATCTTCCCAGCTTCCAGAAGCTTCTTTGTAAGGTTTCCGGTACCGGGACCAATCTCAAGGATGACATCTGTGCTCTTGATTCCGGCTTTCTGAACAATAGTGTCCACCAACAAAGGATTCTTGAGGATGTGCTGACCTTTGGATTTGTGAAACGATACCCCTCCCTGGTAATGATTCGCCGGAGCCCTTGGACCCTTTTGCTTCTCCTTCTTAATCTTGCCGCCCGCCATCTTTGTGACAATGAATTGTGTTGCGCGGCGGGGAGAGCAAGAATGAGGGTTTTGGCTTTTGGGTATTCAAAGAATCAAAGGAGTCGTCGTTTAGTAGGCTATTTGGTAATTTCACGTAGTAGGCACGTGGCCACGTGCCAATCGGACGCCCAGAATTTTTTTAGAAAAGAATTTTTCAGAAAGAATATATTTTTCAGTTGGGAGCTGCAACCTAAAAAAAGGAGGAGGTTCATATAAAAAATGTGAAGGGATAATAAGGGACAATAACAAGTACGATAAAGTATTGTTTGAACTTACGAACGAGTGGATTAAAAATATAATTTTGTTAAAACTTATAATAAAGAGTTTTATCCTTTTTTAAATTTTATCTGACTCAAATTTAAATTAGTTATAGCATAGTAAAATTCCAAATAGCAAGTGGTGCTAACAAAAAAAAAATAAAGTTTTGTTTAGTTTAATTTGTAAAATATTTTATTGATTGAGGGTAAGCTTTTCAATATTAAAAACTGTCATTTCACATCCAACATACAGTTATATCTCGTAAAATATTTATTTAAAGTGTATTAGTGCACTAGTATTTTTTCATATTGGAGACCACATTTTTTTTGTAGTACTAATCTTTTTTACAAGGGATTGGGAGAACTTAAAATGTCTTAACAAATAAAATATTAAGAATAATAATAAAAAAGTTAAATATTTTTAATGAATTATCATGTAAAGAAAATTAATTATAATTTGTCTAACATGTACATTTAAGAGTTTTAAATGCATTTTTCATGTAATAATTTAGATAAAAAAATTAACATTAATTTTATTATTTATAACATATGAATATTTTTTTATTGAAAAATTAGTAAAATTAATATCAACTTTTAGTTTTATTATGTATATTAATGATAAAAAAACTATAATAAATACACCTTAAAGTACAAAGTAAAAAAACCCTATTAATTAAAGGTGTTTAAACAAATTTAAAAATAATTCTAACATTTTAAATAATAAAATATCCTAACTCTTTTTTTGTTCTTTTAGAATAATCCCACAATATTTGTTTCTATATATAATTACTAGATAAAAAATAACATTTTTCTAATGCCTTAATTCATTAAAAGCATGATATATGACTCAAATTCAAGCATAAATCTGAATAAATGCATTCTTCATATATTTAGTAACTTCTAGGCTCTTAAAATGATGAATGAAGCATATATATTTACCTCAAATGCTAGGGAAGAAAAACAAGATGAGATCTGATTCCAGAATAAAAATCAAAAGAAACTAACTTCAAACCTCCTAAGTCAGTCCTACGAACCTCCATCTTACATCAACAATAGTACTATATACACAATGAAATCTTCAGTATATCCGCACCACTTTTTCTCAAGCATCCTATTATCCAATGCCTAAGATTGTTACAAAATTGGCTGCGGGATAACACATGGTGTATCAGAGTGGTGTAAAATTATTACATCTTCTTAATCGTAATTTGCACACACAACTTGCTTCAAATTTGACAATTTCTCTGAGAACCACTCTGATAGGCGCTTTATATAAGCAGTTCTACCAAAAAACGACTCCGCATTTGACAGCATCTCCCTTATGTCATTCTCCACGGCTTCAAAAGTCCGATAGTAGTTGTTCTCTAACCTCAACCGGATCAAATCAGGATACAGTGGAACTGCAAACCTGTGAGAATTGAACAAGTTCAAGTTTTGAATGTTTACCAGGTGAGGAGTTACTCCATATGACAAAATCAAATAGGAAGATGCCCGAAACTGATCTTTTTGTTAAATCCTAAAAACAACCCGCTAGATGCTATTGGGATACAAAATGAAAATATAATAGGAACGTTTTTTACTCTAAAAATTGGTCTACCATCAGCACACGGTATTCTTGAGTAAAAGGCTAAAGAATATATAATTTTCTCTGTGCTCAGCGTCACAAGATATAGTTTCCTCATTGATCAGTGTTTTCAGTCAGTAAAAGAGATAAATACTCATTTGAAGCAAAAGAATTTGAAACCCTTCTTGTTTTTGGTTGGTAAAAAGAAACTGCCATTCTTCTTGGAGGTCAGTGAAAAGGATACCTTACTGGAAAAGAAAGCATGAAAAATGGGGAGAAAGAGAAGGATAGAAAGGAATGGGGTGAAAAGAAGGGGGGGGCGGGTGGGGTGGTGCAAAATGGGGTTTACCTGTTAAGGAATTCTGATTTCTGAGCAGCCTCATTCAACTTCTCAATCCCATAATAATCCTGTAACATTTACAGTAAAACAAAAACAGATACTAGTGAAAAAAACCCTTCCCTTGTCTTCATTTTTATTATTTAAAAAAAAAAAAAAAACCAACAACAACAACAAGAAGCATGTTTCTTGAGATTTTAGGTGCATAAGTTGGTTTGAAAATGACCTGCTTTCTTATAGAGCGATCCAATTTAGCAAAAGCACTAAGCAGCTTATCTTTGATTCCAGGGTCAACGTGCGGGTGCTCCCATGAAAATGCAGGGTCATGCAGCTCCCAAGCACTGTGAGGGTAGGTGTTTCCATCCTTGTAACGAACTTGATATCTTTCCCAAGGACTATCATGGAAATCTGGAGATTTGGCCTGAGAAGAAACAATTCTACCTTCCCACCAACTACCACCATCCCCATTATCATTCTTCCACCACACCAGGCATTTATCCCTAGGGCTCCATTGTCTACTCATTGCAGCATCATACCTTGTCTTCTCTACAAGAAAATCTGGAAAACCTATCAATTCAGGCAGGGTCAGCTCGAATGCCTTCCCAAACACACCAGATGAAGTATCTACAAATCTGAGTGTGATTTTACAACAGCTCTCTCCAGAACCTGGAAAGTTGGCATAAGAAAGCTTTTCAACATTGCAAACTTCCACTGCACTTAGGTACCCCTTAACTGAGTGCCAAGGACCCTGTTCTTTCAAGCAAACAATACACGCTTCATGGCCCTGAAAAATACAAATTCCAAATCATAAATAGTAGAAAGTATGTATCTAGTTTGAACTATAAAAAATAACAATTATAAATTGACAACAACTCAAAACAGCCACGACATGCCTGTCTAAAGTATACTACTTCATCACCCAGCTGGGGGATATAGCGGTAACCCTCCTCATGCTCCGGCAACATCAACCACGATAATTTTCTGTCAGCATAATTTAGTTTCCTTTCGTTTAGAAAACCTGATTTATTCTCATGATACACGTCCTGTGCTTTTCTGGAGGATCTTGATCTCATAGTCCCTTTTGAACTTGCCATCCATTCTTCAGATACAAGCTGATTACGTGAATGCATGGAGGAACTTCCAGCATTCTGTGATGTTCCCACTGATGCATGATGTCCTAGTCCTTTAGAGTTAAGTTGCCAAGCATTTGGCTGTTGTGTAATTGACTTCATCTTCGTTGATCTCGTTCTACGTAACGCATTAGCTACACCTTCAGTCTGATTACTGATGGAATTTAAAGCATTTGCCTCCATATCTGCATCAAAATGTTTGAAATCAGTTGCATCCTTACATGGGTTTTCCTTCTCACAAACAGCATTATTCACATTTAACATTAAACCTGAATGCTGTAACTGAGAACTTGATCTGTCAGAACCTTCAACCTTCTCTTGAACTACAAAATCTGGACTTTGATCTCCGTAAGAAACCCTGTTAGAAATCAGATCACCTTCCTTAATTGACAGGTCATGTGCCACAGTGATGGGTTTTAGTTTAGAAGGATTCTCAAGGTCACTTGAAATAGCCTTTGTTCTTATTCTTAATTTTGTCAACTTGATTGGAGCATTCTCTTTCAGTTCACAAGATTGGTGATTTGAGGGTGCAAACTCTCCCATTTTCAAACAATTTGGATCACCAAAAGAATCAGTCCTCAAATGCTCCCCTTCCCTGCAAGACAAATCACCTCAATAAATACATGAAGTTCTAAATTAAGAGATAATCTTCCATATTTTCAACAATACATACCCATTGAACATGTGATTTTTAGACTTCTCCCCTTCAATTCCAAGCTCCTTTCCACCTGCAAATTCCACAAAATAATCCTCGGTCTTCACAGCTTGCTTTGTATCTTCCCAATCAATTCTAACTTGGCTGGACAACTCTGAATCAACTGCATCTCCACAAGATAAGCCAGGATCTTTTGATCCAAGGATGCCGCTCTTTTCTTCAGAAGTTTCCTGAGGTCCAGAAGGTGGAGAGGGTTCAGTCTTGTCATTAGTGTTCAATTTGTTGTCTCCTAGTGGTTCTTGCTTCTTGGAATTCCGTAATGAGAACTTTAAGATCAATTTCTTCCTGTTCCCAATATTTGATTGTGATTCATTAAGTTCATGAGGCTTCGCTCCATCCTCATAATCAAATAATATTTGTTCATTTGTTCTAGGTTTTTGTGGCATATTCTCCAAATTTCTATCAGTCTTGATGCTTTGAATGCTTGAATCTTGCAGCCCTGACTCACTATTTGATGAATAATCTTCTGATTCAACTTCATCATCTTCTTCTGTTGATGTTCCAGTGATTTGAGAGAACATGTTTCGGGCATTGCGGGCAGCGAGCCTCTGAGGTCTAAATGGCTTTTCTTTGGAAGACTTTCTCTTTGAGGATTTTCGACCATTTTTTGATTTCTTGATTCTATTAATCCCTGATGTGGAGCCATCATGTTCATTCAAAGATCTCTTCTTAACACGCCTCCCAGATGCTGTCATTAACTCAACCTGAAAAATAAAAAAACTTAGTTCCATATGGATGCAAATAAATAATCTAAACTGATGAAACTCAACATTAAACCAAAAAAAAAAAAAAAGCTGATAAAAGTCAAGCAAAGCTCACTTCAGCTTCATGTTTTCTTCTTCTCGATCTGCGAAAACCATCTTTATGACTAAGTTCAACCTCACCATCTTCCTCTCTGCACTCTGCATCGCTAGAAGAGCTGGAGCACATAGTCCCCCGTTCACCTTCTGTTGAACATTCCCCAGTGACATTGTACTCCGAATCATTGTCATCACTCATTACCTCATTTTCTGGTTCCCAGTACAAGGCATCTATAAACTCCGGTGGTGGCTCAATTATTCTCTCCAGATCTTCCAAGGGTGGCATTTCAAAATCCTGACCCAAATTGATATCTGGGCCAATAGCAAAATTTGTGGAAGTGGGACGCCACTCTATACCTAGTGCACCAAGTCGACGTCGCTGGTACATACTCTGATAAGGCTCTGGATAAGGGATCAGACCTGCGATTTCCCATCAAATTATAACATAACCCAATTGTAGGGGAATAGCATGTTAAGTAGTTCAGAGAAGCAGGTTAAACATACTGGAATCACAAAGAGGATCTTGCATGTTTCTTTTATGAGGAGGAAGCTGTGTCTCCTGCATCAAAATCACATAAGTAGATAATCAATTAAAAAACTGATGCAAAAGCATCACTCACAAACAATTGTTGCAAATCTCAAGGTCAAAAGATTCATTTCAGTGTTGCACATCCAAAGAAACATAACAACTAATTAAAACCCTGTAGATTATTAGAGAATATTGCATATATAAAGAATCACCCAGTCATGTTATCTTTTTCCTCTATTTTTTACTCTTCTCCTTTCTTTTGGATGTGAGTTGCAACCAACCTGATCAATCACATTTCCAGCAGCATCTCGGACAAGGGGGCGATAGTCCCCAAGAAAGAACTGCCAGAAAAAATCAGAACATTTGTCATCACCCAATGGTAAAATAACTACTCAATCAACAAGAAAAAAGGGGAAAGGAAGAGAAAACTCTACAATCAAATTTCTTCCACTACCTGGTCATATTTGGCATCCTTTTGGGACTCACCCTGGCCAGTGTTTAGCAAATGTATTTGCCCGACTTCATCTGAAAGTACAATTGATGTCCCATCCCTACATATTAATTTGCGGAGGGGAAGCATGTTATATTTCTTATCAGAACAAAATTAAAGCTATAAGAATGATTAAGGCAAATAATCACAGCTCCTGTTCATTAAAAAAAATAAAAGAAAAAGATAATTGAAGTGTGAATACTGTTCACTCACGGAGAAAACTTCCCATCAACCAACTTAAAACGTCCAATCTCATATATTCGAATTGGTACACCCTCCCATATCTGGAAATAGAAAGTAATGGCAAAACTTTATCAGCCTAGAACCAAAATAAAAATAAAAATAAAAATAAAACAACAACAAGAAGCTAACCAGAATAACAACTCACATCCCAAATTATTGTTTTTCCATCATATCCAGCACTCATAGCTATTCGAGGATTAAAAGGATGGACATCCAAAACATAAGACTGCAAAGAATTCAACAGAGAAGTAAGCCACATGATCAAGATGAGAACAAGGTTTTTCCACCTTCCAGCATTGTGAAAAATGAAAGAACATGAAAACTAAAAGAAATGCACCAATCTAGAACCAGGTATGCAAGGCATTGAGTCAGTTAAAAAGATTGTAACAATGAAGTATGGATTGAGTGGCATTGTCTCATGCTGCCTTTGGATATTACTTGTTGCAGAAACAACAATATACCATAGACTAAATTTAAAACTTAAAAGAGTGAAGAATATTACAGATAAACTATGACCAGTCAAAGAATGCACCAAGCTGCCATCAACAGCATTCCAAACGCATATTCTGCAATCTGCATAAGAACACACGATTGAGGACCTATAGTATATTGTGTATATATTTAGGCAATGTTTAACCAACCATGTTTAAGAAAAGAAAAGAAGAGCATGTTGTCACTTTCAACAAGCATCACCTAAAACACATGAAATTGTTATGGATTAACAGGTTAAATTATCATGACATCTCAATGGTGTGAGTTTTTTTAGTAACTTTTTTCCTTTTTTACCAAAGGAAAAGGCACAAACACTCTGAAAGGAAATAACACTTATTATCTTCCACCAGCAATTTACATCAGTCAGATTCGTATTTACATGCATGGTCTCACAGATAAATTCTATCGATACAACCTAAAAGTACAAAGAGGAGAATAAAAATCAAGGGAAAAGCGGATACGAAGCAAGTGACTCACACAAACTGACGCAAGAGACAATGTTATTGCAACAGGTTTATCAAAATATGGTCAAAGATAAAGAATAAAGAATAAGACAAAAATGACATTGTTTAGATGTCATTACACAGCAGAGGTTGGCAGCTACTTTAAGGTGAGTAAAAGAAATGTAAGAATAAATCTTCACTAGCACTCTGAGCTTAACACAGGTGGTTTTCCTATGTTTTTAGAGTACTGCTATTCTGTTGAAATAAAGGAAGAAGCATTTCTAGAGTACTGCTGTTCTGTTGAAATATCTATCCTAATTATCACTACATTACCCATAATAGCAGCTAGAACAAAGCGATTATCCAAGCTCCACACAATCATATTGACACCACGAGGGGTTGGGAGAAGCCTCTGACGTGGACCTCCTCGAGGTGGTTGAGGCGGTAACGGGGGAGGTGGAACTTTCAGGTGATACGCCTTTGTCCAACGACCAACTTTTCCCTATCACCATTGAAGGATTGTAAAAGAAATCAAATCATCATTTGATGTATAGCAAGCATTGAAGTTTGAAGTATCACAACAAAACTGTTCAAATGTACAAGTTAATGAAATTTAACTGTAAAATGAATTTTTCATAGAATAGATTACACATCTCTGCCAAAAGCATTAATTAAAACTTTGATAATAAATTCATTTACTCACATGAGATCTACGTGATTTTGGAATCCAAATGATTGCACTACCATCACGAGAACAAGTAACAATGTTGTCATGGCAGAACCTGAAGATATTAAAGTTAAAGGAACCAAAACTTTTAAGTACAAGATAAACTGCAATGATTCAATGCTAATAATGCCACCCCCCCTCCCCTCCCCCCCAACCAAAAAAAAAGGGGGGGAAGGAAGAAATGAGAATTGAATAAAGTGGTACTGGATATTATTCCAGTAGTTAAGTAGAAGATATTAACAGACCAAGAATTTTTAAATTTTGGAACATTCTCCTCCTTCATAATGTCAGACATTGAAGATCTTGAAGGCACAGCACAGCCACTGCAGATGCAAGCAAAAAGATGGTTTGTTATTTTCTTCAGAAGAAAAATATAAAATGATGACATAGTTATGAGGACACCACGTGCCTAACCTAAATTGAACATAATTAACATCATTTTCGTGGCCAGCCAAAACATCCAGCTCATGGATTGGTTGTTCCAAGTCATCTGCACTAGGCTTACAGGCAACCCAAACCTGCAAGCATATAGTTCTTACTAAAAAGTTTCAAATGAATTTATAAATGTATAAACCAATAAAGTAAATATATCAATAGATGAACCAAAAACATCATTGGAAGAGTTGACATGTGCAAACGCACCCTTGCAAAAGTGTCAGAGCTACCAGTAACGAAAACAGTCCCATTAGCATTATATGCACAACATAGTATTTGATGGGTCTGAGGAGCATTACTTGCAGATGGTCCATTTGTTGATGGATAATTGCTCTTACCTGAATGAAAGTCACAAATTCATTTAGTTCATAGCATGGAAGTGCAGATGACAAAGAAAAAATAAGTATAAGCAATTGTCCAACCATTGACAGCATCTGGCGGTTTTGGCAAGTATATTTGTGGGCTACACTGCGAATACCTAGCATCCCAGATCCGACAAGTCCCATCATCTGACGACCTATAAGTGTTTAACAGAGTGAATAATAAACACATATCATCAAAACAAGTCCAACATACCATACTTCCTGCCTTCCAGCCAATTAATGATACAATATTCTGTTTAATCACAGCACTTTTGTTTTGGCTCAATCCAGAGGCACTTAATTTAAAACTTTCAGAGAAAGCCTACTATGCATTAAAGAAAACACTGAATGTGCAAAAGACTAACATGCAAAACAAATGTGAATTTAGGCATACATTAAATTTCAACAGGTTTCCTAGTAAAAACACAACATTACATGGACTAACAAAGAGGAAAGAACTACATCAAAGATCTATAGCTCAGAAAAAGAAGCTCACGATAAAAGCTGGTAAACAGAGGTTGGCCTGGGACTGAATGCAATAGCAGTGACAGCTCCAGTGTGCCCCCGTAAAACTGAAATCTGTGCTCCATCGGGCAAGCGCCACTGTAATAGACCAAGATGAATCATCCCGTCATAAAAGAGAAGAAAGCAGTGAATAATAAAAAGTTTGATAATTGATTCCTACCACTCGAATCACAAAATCATTTGAAGCTGAGGCCACCAAAGCATTGTTTGAACTTACAGCTAGGTCTGTTATGTCACCCTATACAAATCAGGTCACAAACAGTTTATACTAAGTGACAACAAACTTTAAAGGCTACATCAGAAATATTGATAATCAAATGATGTGAACTCACTTCATGTCCACGGCAGCTAGCTAAGCAAAATGCAGTTTCCATTGACCAAATCTTGACCAGACGATCATCTGAACCAGTTATGAAATATCTCCCTGAGCGATCAAATATGGCTACAGGAAGCAACCATCATTAGTTTTTATACCATTATCCATCATCTCTAGTCTACAAAGGTAGAGTAATGGCAAAAGTGATCTAAATGCTCACCAATGGACTTAATGTGACCTCATGAGAATAGATTGAGAAAATGAGTAGAGTTATTTCTTTTATTGTGACTTGTGAGAAGTGGGACCCAGTAGATATGTTAATTATTATGATCGTAGAAAACATATTTCATTCTTAAAGTTGTAAATAACATAGATTACTAGAAAATAATCAATATTGTATGACTATCACATCATCATTGTGACTGTAACTGCCATACGTTTGATTGCATCACCCTTCTAACCATTACCATGAAATTCGTAAGGGTTCCCATTACAATTAACAGAACCAAATGAGTAACATCTTCTATAACATAATTCTTAAATGAGCAGATGCTAATTGCAACTTTGGCGGATGATAAATCATACCACAATAGACTGCGTTGCGATGCCCCCGCAGCTTCATTATATTCTGCATCTTTTGAACCATGGTTGAAGGTTTAGCAATTGCATAACATGCAGAGCGAATAGAGGAAGCCCGGTGATGCTTCGCAAAACCTCCTCCAATTTCTCTTAAACTTAGCCCACGTACTTGATCAGCTTGCATATGAGGCCAACGTAGGTAGATAGGCACAGACTTGCCTTGCCTATTTTTTGTAGTCCTATCACCTACAAATGGAAAGGCAATAGTTGCCATATAAGAATACAGAAGTGAAAAAATCTAAGCAAACAAGCATAAAAGAGAAATATAACTTACAGCAGCAAACTGAATATTTCAATGTTAATACCCTACAACCAAAATAAATGTCCTAATTTATATGTTGGAATAACCAGAAAAGTTGTCCAAAATCAAAATTTGGAGAGCAATGATTACCAAAAGTTTTAACCATGCCATTCAATACAACCACCACTCATTACAACCACCACTCATTACATACCAAATAAGGACAAAGACAAAAGAGTTACTCCATGTCTTTCTGGTAAACAACCATAATCAATTAATCAATAAAAGAAATTAAGTCGATAGTAGTTTTCTATACTTCTTCATAACAGATATCATTAACTTAGTCATATAAGTACAAATTAGTTAAATAACTTAAGCATTGTTGGATAATAAATAGGATATACGCTACTTTCAGAGTATACAATTACTGCAATCAAAATTTAAAAATAAATATTACTAGAAGGATGTGATGGGTCAGAATTGGACATCACTTGGATAATCTTTCTTTAAGGAAAGGGGAAATAAACCTAAACTAAACTGCCTAAACTGCCTCACAGTTGGTAATGTGAACCAAGGACCTACCAACATTATCACTAACCATGAAATCATATCCTGTTATCTCAGTCCACCTCAAGATATCTTAACAAATAACTCAAGGTAACTATTTCATAGTGGTCCAAAATATATTCAAAGAAAATGCAATTCTATGTCATGCACCATCCTTCAAAGCAGGACACATGTACAAAAGGACTACCAACTAGGACTACCATCTTCATCATAGTTTAGACAGCTTGTTTCAGTTCACATACATTTTGGTTGGCAAATCACATGGACATCACATAACTAAGGTTTTGTATAAAGTGGACAATATCAAGATAAGGTGTTGAAGGATTTTGTAGAAACAAAAGAAAATAATTCCTAGAATTTCAAGCAAAAGCGAAACTTCCATTGTAAATAATTTCTTGACAAAAAATAATAGCTATTTTGCATATATAAACATATGAGCACAAAATAAATTACTATGAAATATCACATACCATCCAAAAGCGAAAAAGAACCATATCCCAATAATGTAGGAACAGAAGCAGCTTTTGGAGCACGAGCATCTCCTCCATCCTTGGTTAGCAGTTGTTTCAGAAGCTTTACCAAGTGGTCCTTCTCAATGTGAGGATATCTGATAATTATACAAATGGGGACTTGGTAAGTTGGATTTTAAATCAAAGTTCAATCAAGGTTTGTGTAAGGCACAGCATGAATGAAAATAAGAGAATAACTGTTTCAGGCACACTAATAAACCCCTGTGGATTTTGGAATACAATTCAGAATCAGATAAGAGCTATCTTTTGTTGACTTCTAATCCCTAAGTTTGACTTTTGAGGATTCCTTCCTTAAGCAATCAAGGACAAACAATTACACCCACTAACAACCAAGAAGTATCTGTTCATTTCAGACAAGCCATCCACAGGCCTTCTTAATTTCAAATAATAAGACTAAAAGTATCCAAAAAAAAAAAAAAACCTAGTGGTACCATTATAGAGGAGGAAAAGGGGGGAAAAGACTGGAGTTGGGTTCTAAATAACACAACCAACTCACGGCTAGCATTGCCATTGACCAATTAAGGTAACATAACACGGAATCAATCATATATGATATGAAGTTAAAAATTCATAACAAACTAAAACAAACATCACCATTAAGTTCAATATCTTGATTAATTTCAATGCCAATATAAAACAGGAAAAAAAAAAGGATAGAAAAATATATATACCTCTCCACTAATTTATCATAACTTAAAGGTAGGGAAATGCCATCATCGTCCTCATCAACATCATCATCATCATTCCCACTACGCATGCCACTTCTGGAAAACCAAGCATGATATCGTCTAGGTAGAAGTTGATTTTCCAAAAGCTCATTCAACAGATGTTCAAAACTTCTCTTGCAAGGACCAGCAGACAGAAATTGCACAATCAAAAGGTACACTTCTCTAAGGTCTATATCAACATCAGCAAGATCCATAGCTCCCCTACGTTGCTCCGACTGAGGCTTCTCCTGCATCACAGTGGAAACACTCAAAGGTGCTTTACAAAGAGAACCCGCACGCTTCCACTCCATACTTTCAGCTCTAGCAAACCTGAAAAAAACTATTATAAAAAAAAAAAATCACATTCATACAACAAAATCGTCCTCGCAAAATCCTAATCCGGTGTCTAATTGGAAGTTACCAAACACTAAGGAAGCACATAATCATCAGAAATCAGAATTGAACTACTCAAAAGATCTAATCGAATCCAGCAATCTAAGCATAAATTGAATATCCGAAGCAGGAATAAGAAGAAGATCTTATTACCTTAAATGGAGTGGAAGTCAGAAAAGGAACATTCAGCTGTTCTGATTTTGAGGGTTTGAACATCGATTAAGAAAGGAAAGAAGAAGGCAGCGAATTACAGGCGCAGTGAAGCGAGGAGAAGCCGAAAACATGAGGAAGAATTGAGGAGGAGGTCAAGTCATATTTGGGAATTGGAGGAGAGAAGAAAAGGAATCAAATGACAAAATGGAGGGACAATGCACGCATCGAAGAACTACTTCGGGAAGTATTTCCTGGGAAATAAAACAAATTTTCTGGTTTTTTTAGTTTTGTTTAATAAATGGATGAAGGGTGATTTTTTTTTCCTAAAAAATGTGAAATACGATGAGGGGAGAGTGGTGTAATGGTGAAAAGACGAGTAAGCCTAGCCTAGGGAGGGAGGTGCTTTCTATAAGTGGAAATAATGATAGGGTCTTAACCGTCTTTTAGTCCGGAGCATTGGGACAGATTCTTCCATTCTGAAGGTGAATTGGGAATGGCGGTTTCAAAGACGGTTTGGCGAAATTCGATCATCGATTTTACTTTTCATGCCCAGATGTTGGCATGATGTTTTCTTTAGAGCTTAAAAAATAATTTGTTTAAAAAGTAAATTTTTTTTATTAATTTTATAAATTTAAAAATTTGTGGTATCTAAATTTCAAATTTGCTTACCAGAAACTGAATTTTAAAATTTTCTTATAAACTTTTAAATTTATAAAATTTTTTAGATAAAAAATTTACATTTTCGAGCAAACCGCTTTTTAAGCTTACTTCAAACACCTTTTATATTTCCTTCTCAGGCAATGATTTTTTTTTTCTGTTTTTGTAAGCAATGACAATAATTATGAAAGTATGACTATAAAAAAAAAAAATTATAAATTTATAATGGACTATCTCCGTGAGAATTTTTTTTAATACATTACTAAAGTTTAAAAATTAACTTATGGATAATTTTTTTTATTATTTTTATATAATTTTACATGTCATTTAAAAAATTAATAATTTTTATTTAATTAAATTTTATACTATTAAATATATTTTTTATTTAATAATATATAAAAATTATTAAAAAATTATCAAAAAAAATTATTTGAAAAGTATGTCAATTTATTTTCTATCAACAAAGCAAAAAAAGCAATTCCAGTAAAGTAATTCCTGTTCAAGTTAATAAAAATTTTCAGTATATGATACAGAAGTCTAGGAGCTGATATCAAAGATTGCAACATTAAACTGCCCAATAACAAAGATACATTTTGATACTATTCTATCCATCTGTAAAATAAGAATCCGATGCTTCTTGTGGTTCGGAAAGGAACTGCTCTTCAGGCATCAATGAAACGGATACCAAAGGTATGGGGATGTATCTGCCATACGTTTAAGGCTGCATATTCCTCTAAACATTCCTGCAACTGGGCCTCACTATATCCCTATTCAAATAAAATAAAATTAAAAAAAAATCTTATGCAATCAGAAAGTTCAAGCAAATATTTTGATGACCGAAAAATTATACTATTTCGACTTGAATAAGCGCAATTGGCATGCCTTAATGTTAAACTAAACCAAACGTAACCAATTTTTTAGAGCCCAAAAGAAGAAGAAATACTCCTTGAGTTTTGCTTTAAGCTTTCAAGAATACCAACTGATGGATGAGCTACTCAAGGATTAGCTTGCTGAAAGAACTAATAAATATTCCATTGCTAAATTTATTTTATCTCATGTGGTCCTAAAATATTTGTCAACTGCCAGAGTTTTCCTAAAGCAGATGACACAAATCGTCTGCCATGATCATAACCTAGTATAGATAGAATCTCTTGTTGGAGTTACATTCTCTGGAAATTGGCAGTGAAGGTTTGATTATTTGCCAACAACATATGCCCAGTGCTTGAGACATTGGCAAAAAAACTTTGATGGCCAGGCATTCTGTTGTTGGTGCTTGGATAAGTAGAAACTTGAAAACTTGGCAAATTGAAGTTTTCCATGCAACTCCTAGAATGGCAGTAATAGTCATTCCAGCAAGGAAATGGCAAACAGAAGCCTCAAAATTCCATGTTAAGCAGTTAAGGTACTACATATTCAAGAATGGTTGAAATTTTAGGCAAGAGTGCAAGACATCTCTAATGGTTAGTATTTTGGTGTTTGATATCATTATACAGTACTAGACAACTAAGTAACCGTAAGACATATTCAACTCCTTGACTTAGAGAACTAACCTTTCTTGAAATCCAATTCAGTGCATGGGCATAGCTCATATCCATCTTGTTAGTCCTTGCAGCTTCATCTCACAGGATTGAATATATATCAGAGATTGCATCCAGACCAGATTTCTGGCGATCATCAACATATAAAGACAATTTTGACATCTGCATTAACCTTAAAGCCTCATCCACATCACTCTGAGCCACAGTTTCTGAAAACCGAAGCCTTGTTAGTGCCTGCCAATGGAAAAAGGAAAAAAAAAATTCATGCCCATCATGTAACCCAGCAATTAAAGATACCATTCAGATCTTTACTAGTCCACTTGTGTGGAAAACTGCACTTACTGCTGATATCCGGAGGATACTAAGCAGTCTCCTCACAGTAGTATATGAATGAGACGTATTTGATATAGCTTCTTCTTGTCGGATACTGGAGTAGGCAGTAGCAATATACTCCTCCAGTTCCCCTGGAACATATGGAGATAGTCTTCTGGCAGCAGAAATATATGCACTACAAACAAAAAATATAAACTTAATAAAAGAACTGAAAGAGAAATCAAGGCCACACCTAAAATTTCCCAACAAGCATAGTTGTGGAACTAGATCAATCAATAGACTTGAGAAACAAGCACATGTAGCTGAGATAAAAAGAAAAAGGAATGGTATCTATAAGTCACACAAAAGCATATCAATGTAGGTAATAAATCGCCAATAAAAAATAAAAAATCAGCTTCTCCGGATAAGTACAAGGAAAATTAGAGAATAAGCAGGGCAAACGTTTGCTCAATTGATCTATCAATTGGCTCTTATGAATCATTGAGCAGCTCACTTTTTCCTTTTACTTGAAAGTTAACACAAGAACTTGCATAAAATAAAATTGATAACATAATCAGGTCAAAAGAAATTCATCAATAAACTGCAGATGGGTTTTCCATGTAAAAGGGAAATGATATTTACCGAAGAAGAGATGGTTCAAGTGCAGTGAAACCAAGAGCAGGAGATTCTCTTTTCTGGTGCACAAAGACAACATGCCTAGCCATTTCAAGATCACCATCCATATCTGCTCGGTCTAGGATCAACCACAAAAGATCAAATCTCAATAGAAGGGCTGGAGGGAGATTAATATTTTCAGCTGGAGTTCTACATAGGTCATATCTTCCCCTTCAAAAAAGAGTTGTGAATCAAGAATTAATAAACTTGCTTCTGCATATAGAGCACTCTATACATGCAACATAGATTCACTTTTTTCCCTTTTGTCCCTTCTTTGGTGGGATGATGAGAAAAAGTAAAATGAATTAGGGCCAAAAAAAAAAAAAACAACTTGGAGGAACATTAGAGAGGCACTTACCAGGCTGGAATGGCAGCAGCAAGAATAGCAGTTCTTGCATTTAGGGATGTGGTGATCCCAGCCTTGGCAATACTGACAGTCTGCTGCTCCATAACCTCATGAATTGCTGTACGATCAGATTCATCCATCTTGTCAAACTCATCAATGGCACATATTCCCATATCTGCCAATTCCTGAAACCAAGTCAACATACCTCATTTAACCAAAGGTAACTTTGGTAGACAATTGGATGAGAATCATGAGATACAATAACTGGAACTAGTTTACTGACTCAAAATTATAATTATTAACAGAAATTATGCAGCATGACCAATGCAGCAGACAGATTGATGAATTTTAGTAAGGCACTAACTTGATGCAGTTAGAATAGCCACTTCTTCCAAGCCAGCTCATACTCACCATATCAAATATCAACAAAAAGATCAGCATCCAACTAAATACATAAACTGTTACACAAAGAAAAGAATGCCTCACCAGTGCTCCCCCTTCCAAGACCATTTCATTTGTTACTGGATCTTTTTGAACAGCAGCTGTTAGACCAACTCCACTGCTTCCTTTGCCAGTGGTATACACTCCTCTGGGAGCCACATTTATTATGTGCTTCAGAAGTTGACTTTTGGCAACCCCAGGATCACCCATCAAACATATATGTAGATCTCCTCTAATCTGCAACCCAATGAAGTGATGAATTAATGCAAATAAGTCCATCCCAATAACGCAGCATGGAAGAACCCAATTAAACATGTCAGAACCATTAACACGAGGATCAGAATCATCATTTAAACCAAAGAAATGAGAATATAACAAGAAAACAAGCATTTAAGGATGGAGAAAGGGTAGAGAAATAAGACTTCCCTGCTTCACTGCTTAAACACCAACACTTTACAATAAATGAATGAAATACAGGCCCCCTATCTATGATTTAAGTAAACCAAGTAAGGTGATGATAACTAGAAAAACACCTAATATATAAGATAACAAATTAACCTTCATCCCATCCTTCAATTTCCAATGAGGAGCACCCAAAAGAAGAAGAAGCAGAGCTCTTTTAATATCTTCATGTCCATAAATTTCAGGTGCTAATGGCTGTGCTAACTTATTATAAATATAACCATCCTCAGCTAAACGAGCAATTTGCTCTTCCTCATCTTCCCCAAGTTCATAACTGTAACAGGGCATTGGTGAGTTTATTCAGTGAACCACTTAGGACTCAATTGAGGTTGCTACATATATAAATCAGAATGTATTTAATTTGAGAGATTGCCTTAGGTCGTTTTGGTGATTGTAAATGGGAAACATGACTTACTCTTCATATTTCTTCTAAAAATGAGTGACAGACATTGCTTCCAAGTAGGTATCTGCAACTAAACCAGCTTGCAGTGCCCTAAATCCAGTGTAAGGAATAGGAAGAAAGATCCCTGATAATTCAAAAACATCACCTGGTGCTACCTGACAATTAGACAGAATGGGAAATTTGAAATAAAAAATAAAGAAAAGAAAAGACAGTAGCATGGACAAGTTGTCAATCTTTAGTAGGGGGTGGAAGGACTCACAACAATGAAATGTTACAGGTAAATAAATAGAAACCTTCCCAAAAGTAGAGAATATCAAAACTTCATCTTAAGCAGAACATGTTTCCACTCAAGTCCATGATGACTCTTCAGATCCAATAACCATAAGCATTAAAGTTTTATTTATATCTTCAGGTAAGCCACACAAATACTACCCTACAGAGCAAGCAAAATTGATCTGCTATGCGTTTTTTCCACTATTTATGACATCAGAGCTTGAAAAAGAATATATTTGGCATCCATCATGCTAGTATCATGTTAGTGAATCATAATTTGTGATACAGTGATAATGCTTAGCAGTTACTAACAGAACAAACTTGTACTGCTGAAAATTTGACAAAAAGAAACCACTAGCCTTTCTCGTTAGTTCTCCTCTGAGATGAACAGTCATTGACCGTGGAATATGGCCTTTTGGAACATGTTCTGCCAACTCATGAATCTTGGCCTGCAAAAAGATATCTTGCATCATGGGCCAGAAACAGCAAATGCTAGCTTCCCATTAAAATAATTTTATGAATGAAGGAATGGATGAAAATCATCATATCAAAATGGAAGACCTCCTGGAACTTCAAGAACTTTGATGCTCTTAGTTGAAGGTTAAGGTTCCCCTTTGTCTTGTTTACTTTACAACAGTCAGTTGGACACTCAAACAAAGGCATGAAAACCCGAGCAGTCACCTCCGGTTTGGTATATGAGTGAATAAGAAAAACAACAAAACTAGATTAAGATGGGTCAAGAATGCATTTTTAATTGCCTGACATTCAATTCAAGAGGGAGAAATCAAAGGGACAAAAAACAATTACACCCACAGAAATGTTGTATGAAATGAAAATGACACATTAGCATTCAAATTGAAGGAAATCCTTCAGATACTTCCATAGTAACCTGAAAAGACTTAATCACCTGGTAAATTTCAAAGCCACATTCTTCACATGTATATACAGCCACCTGCATCAAGGGCTTGACATCTGAACAACGGGTCACAATACCAGATATCCTCACTAGCTTGCCAATAGATGAAGCCTTGACCTCCCTAATGGTAAATGCCCGTCCCTTAGAAATTGCTTTAAAATTAACTTCACTGCATCAAGAACACGAAAATGAGAAAGTGACCACTATGCAATCAATGCTGAATAGAAGATTCTACAAATTTTTACACAACATAAATTCTTTAAGGAAAAACATACTGCATATAGAACTTTGAAGATATATAAAGCCAGTATCCCTAGACAATTGGTAGTAATTAGATTGAGGACTGTTTCCTCCATCAGAAACACATTATACAGATATACAAGTAGTTCTTCACTATGGCACAGCTAACACAGGTGACATATGTAAGACATGCATTAATGCAAACAAGACCACAAGAATATAAACCACAATTTTAAAGACAGTAGAATTTTCTACTTCAAGTTACAACTTAATGCAGCTAACCGCTATCCATACAATAATAATTGTAGAAAGAAAAATCCTACTATATAAAAGATACTGACAATTTGACATCAAATCTACCGTTGGCTGCAAATATAAATCATCAGTCACATAACCAATACATAGCCACAACATCATTGGAAAGTGAAAAGAGAAACTCAACATCAAGGAAAAGGGTTTTCCTTAAGCTTACTAATAACGATTAATCTCGGGAGGCATCTTCCTAAGTGGATTAGTACCATCCGCATTTTCAGTTCCATCCTCTGCCCTCTGCGTCATCAATATGGGAACATCATCTGGAATGTCCTCAGTGGGAGCTGGCAACAGCTCATCAACTGCTGAAGGAAAAATTCCAACATATCTGCGAGTGTTTTCAGTAATTCGCCTGAAAAACTCTTCATCCTTGTCCTTGTACTAGAAAGACCAAATTAACATGGATACAAATTATTAATCTCCCAAAAAGAACCCTAAAAAACACAACAGAAAATATGAAATGAAAAATAAGAAGAAATTGTTACATTATCCAAGTCCTCAAGATCAATTTGGATTGCTCGAATTTTATAATTCGCAACTTATTGCTGGAAAAAGGAGATTACATCGGAAGTCAGTCCGGATGATAAAAACAAATCTACTATTGATAAGAAAAATCACTTTCGGTTCGCCGTCTAAATTCATGAGCAGCAAAAAATTGGAGGTCAAGGGTTTCTAATTTCCAGCACTTGGCAGTTGGCAGAATGAAATATGGAGACTCACGAGGATATTCATGTACTTCGGCTCGCCATTGATGTCTGTGAAGTTCGACAGGAACTCCTTCGCAAGAACTGTCAAGAGATGGAAGGAAAAAAGCTTCAGACGGGAGAGAACGAGAGTGAGATCTGACAAAGCAGAAAGAAGGCTAGACAGCGTGTACCTTTGTCTGCGTTGAAGTCGCGATTCTTCATGGTTCCGCTCCCGAGAACGAGAGATGGAGAGCGGTGAAGACAATGAGAAGAGAACGGAGGAGGAGAAATGACTCAAATGAGAGAAGAGAGACGAGAATCGGCGGCGAGGGAGCGGAAGCAGAGCAGAAGAGGTTTTGGCGGGAAATGGGTGGCAAATTTGATACAGTGTGGGAAGGTATACTGTGATATGGTGGGCACGGTAACCTACGTCTCTGATGAAAGAGAAATTGGCACGTGGCTGAAGAAGAGAAAAAAAGGTAAAAAGGGGTGTGGCTGCTGGGATTCGAGCCCAGGTCTCTACGGCCACAACGTAGAATTCTAACCACTAAACTACAGCCACTGTTTGTAGCATTGCTGTCAATAATATATAAAATGTATGTAATTTTGTTGATTGGAGCCAACTTCCTTCCAATCACACAACTCATTAGGAATACAGATTTCTAAACAAAAGGTAATCCAAAACCAAAGTATTTTCAGATTACAAAAGGTAGAATTTACATTAGCTTGATAATGTGGATGGATCAATGTAACTGTTATTAATTACACATGCAATGAAGTCAGCATGAATGGTCAACAGAGGTATTGGGACGTCTCAGTGTCCAGATTCTTTGATATGTTTAATGTGACTTATGAGAATTTTTGCTTTTTAAGTATTGTTATGAGTAATAAATTTAAATTTTTATTGAAAACAAATAGAGTTTTAATTTTTAGAAATGTGAAAAAGTGAATGAAAAGTAAATAAAAAATGAGTTTATGAAAAATTTGGATTTAAAATTTTTAAACTTTTACTGTTTAAAAGTTTTCTATGGTTAAAAAAATATTTAAAAATATAAAATTTTAAAATAAAAATTTTAATTCATAAAATATGAATAG